CAAAAAGACTCTTGAGATTCACATGTAGGTAAAAACCCATATTTTCTTATAAATATGGTTATATTGATATCAGCTAAGCAGCTGCACCTTGCGCTTAAATTCTCTTGAATGCTTGAATAAGTGCACAGCCTCTGCGACATTTCGTACAAAATTTAGGACCAGTTTTTTCTTTTCGCAAACTTACGCCTTTCATTAATAATAGAAGTGCACAATGGAGGAAAATGGAATGAGCACGCTGACCAAGAGAGGGGTTCCTATCCCAAATGAGGAGACTCCTTATAAAAGCCAGGCTACCTCAAATAGCCTTAGAAAGTTCCTTCTTAGAGGTTACGGTAAAGGAGAACAGACTTTCCAGAAAAAAATTGATTTAGTTAACTTCAGAAATCATCAGAAAATGTGAGGGGTTGTAAAAAAATGCTGAAAAATTTCTGAACAAAACTCTTCTAGAAATTCAGCAGGAGGCTAACTTACACCATGATACAATCTGGTCTTTCCATTTATCGAAACGACTGTCCTTAAGTTTACGTTATTCTGGCAAGTTTATAAATCAATCCATCTACAATCGTTTAAGCGGTCAATGTGTTTCTTAGAATTTATTATCACAAAAGTAAACTACATCCTTCCCTCCGACAGTCCCATAAATAATCCGAACTATCGCGCATGTCGCTCTCGATTACGCCACTAGTGTGTCCAGCTGCTGTTACCTTCAAAAGCGATCCGGCTGGCGAGGCAGTGTTTACCCTGGCATTTTGTATGAGTGGACATGAGCAAAAACAGGGTCAGGTTACCCCCGGTACCTTGCTGCGACTATATCAAGACGAGTTTTGAAGTAGAACGTAACTATCTTGCGAAGATGTTCCCCCGATACTCTGTCGAAGAGGTCAACGAGCGGATTTGGATGTGTTCTCAGAGATCGCGACGGGGTGAGCTCGTAAAACAATGTTTGCGCGATCAGCAGCTCCCCTCACAAGGAGAAAAGAGCACAAACTGTGTTGAAGCTGGCGCTCACGATCGAACGGATGCTTAACCCAAGTCAAAAACCTTGAATTGACATTCGCAAGGGCGGTGCTCTCGAAGATCCAGGAGTATTTAGCCGTAGTGCTTCCAGACTCAGTTCCCATAAAAGCTTAAGTGCCCAATGTCGCACTCGAGAGGAGTATTAGCCCGTTAGACTCAAAAGGAAAGCATTTCGCACAAGCACCTCTTGAGCTGCGCTGGTAAATAAACAGGAGGCTAAGAGGAATGCGGCATTACCGAGTAGTTCACGGGAACTAGTCACTTAAAGTTAACCAATGTTTGGGTAAGTACCAAAAGCGCCCTTATAGCACTGCGCTTTGCCGTTGTGTCTATTAGGAAGGGATAACTAACCAGTCGGTTGTGTGTTGGTGTTTCACACAATTATACTACTGTCACTCAGGGAACAAAACAGTGAGTGAAGGA